AGAAAAAAAAAAATATGGGGGAAACTTTTTTGTCGGATGGTAGGGTCCAAGGGGGTTCACCCCCGTCTATTTGTGGGGGGGGAAATCGATCTCATTTCGGGAGAATGTTACTTCTTTTTTTTTACAGATGTCATGAATTAAACTACAGGGAAAGATTTATCTTGTGTCATTATGGCCAAATGGTCTAAGGCGCTGCGTTCAGGTCGCAGTCCACTTGTTTGGGTGTGGGTTCCAATCCCACTTCTGACAGTATTATTTTATCCCATCCCTTTTATAGTTCTCATAAACTTAAATATAGGGAAAGTTTTCTGTTGTGTCAGGATCGCCGAGAGGTCTGACGCGATGTGTTCAGGCCGCAGTCTACTTATGCGGACGTGAGATCGAATCTCACTTCTGAGAAAGTTACTTCATTTTTTTATAGTTCTCATAAACTAAAATATGATTTCCGTTGTGTCAGGATGGCCGTGAGCTCTAAGGCGCTGCGTTCAATCCGCAGTTTACTTGTGCGGGCGTGAGATCGAATCTCTCTTCTGAGAATGTTATTTTGTACCATCATTTTTTATATTTCTTATAAATTAAAATATAGGGAAAGCTTTCTTTTGTGTCATTATGGCCGAGTGGTCTAAGGCGCTGCGTTCAAGTCGCAGTCCATTTGTGTGGGCGTGTGTTCGAATCCCACTTATGTCTATATTATTTTATTCCATCATTTTTTGTAGATCTCATAAACTAAACTATAGGGAAAGCTTTCTGTTTTGTGAGTATTTCCGAGTGGCCTCTAAATGCTGCGCTCATGCCGCAGAGTCTACTTGTGCGGGCGTGAGATCGAATCTCACTTTGAGAATGTTATTTCACTCTTTTTTTCTTATAGATGCCATGAACTAAACTGTAGGGAAAGACTTTCTTGTGTCATTATGGCCGAGCGGTCTAAGGAACTGCGTTCAGGTCGAAGTCCACTAGTGTGGGCGTGGGTTCGAATCCGTCATCCAATAATATAATTTTATGCCATCATTTTTTATAGTTCTTATAAACTAAAATATAGGGAAAGCTTTCTTTTGTGTCAGGATGTCCGAGCGGTCTAAGGCGCTGTGTTCAGGCCGCAGTCTACTTCTCCCTGCGTGAGATTGAATCTTACTTCTGAGAATGTTATTTTATTCCATCATTTTTTATAGTTCTTATAAAATAAAATATAGAAAGCTTTCTGTTGTGTCATTATGGCCGAGTGGTCATAGCGTCGTGAAGTCCGTCCATTTGTATGGCGTGTGTTCGAATCCCACTTATGTCTATATTATTTTATTCCATCATTTTTGTAGATCTATAAACTAAACTATAGAGCTTCGTTTGTGAGTATTTCCGAGTGTCTAAATCTGCGCTCGCGGCAGAGTTCTGTGCGGGCGTGAGATCGAATCTCACTTCTGAGAATGTTATTTCACTCTTTTTTTCTTATAGATGCCATGAACTAAACTGTAGGAAAAGACTTCTCTTGTGTGATTATCGCCGAGCGGTCTAAGGAACTGCGTTCAGTTCGCAGTCCACTTGTGTGCGCGTGGGTTCGAATCCCTCTTCTGCCAATATTATTTTATTCCTTCATTTTTATAGTTCTCATAAACTAAACTATAGGGAAAGTTTTCTGTTGTGTCAGGATGGTCGCGAAGTCTGACGCGATGTGTTCAGGACGCCATCAACTTGTGTGGGCGTGGGTTCGACTCCCACTTCTGATAATATTATTTTATTCCATCATTTTTTATATTTCTTATAAACTAAAATATAGGGAATGCCTTCACTTTGTGTCAGGATGGCCGAGAGGTCTAAGGTGCTGCGTTCAGGCCGCTGTCTACTTGTCTCTGCGTGAGATCGAATCTCACTTCTACGAGTGTTATTTTTTATCCCATCATTTTTTATAGTTGTTATAAAATAAAATATAGGGAAAGCTTTCTGTCGAAAACTGCCACTCCAGACCTCGTCCGGTAAAAAGTGGAATTCCTCAAGGAAGTTTGCTTTTACCGAGACTTTTTAACCTGTATATATATTAACGAAATTCCGAAGGCTGAAAATGTCCATTTAGCTATGTATGCGGATGACTTTGCTACCATTAGTCAACACATTTGTAATCTCAAAATTATTGAAAGATTACAAAATTACATCCCAAGGCTTCAGCTCTGGCTCGTTGCTTGGAAAATGTTTAATGCATCAAAAAGCGCAAGCCTCCTCTTTACGAAACAAAGGTGTATTTTGGAAACTTACCCAATATCAACATTTTTGACCAACCCGTTCCCTGAGTCACTGAATTTTAAGTACCTAGGGTTCATTCTCGACGCAAAATTGAACTTCTCCCCTCACATCCGTGCTGCACTTCAAAAAGCGGCAGGAATGAGCCAAGCGCTCAATTACTTAATTTCTTAAAGAACCCAATCAGACACAAGGTTTTGCTCTATAAATTATTTCTCCGACCAATTCTGTTATATGCATCTCCCATCTGGGCTTCAGCTGCAGTAACTCATTTGAAAAAATTGCACGTTTTTAAAAATAAACACCTTAGAAAAATTACTAATGCTCCCCGGTTTGTCAGAAACAAAATCTTGCACAAAGATCTCAAAATTGATCCAATTCTTGATTTCATTAAAAATCATCCCACAAAGTTTTTTGACAGATTACCCTCAAATTTCTAACCAATCTATCCGAGTCATCCCTGCCTATGATAACTCGGTCCCAAGCTCTGCAAAAAGACCTAGAGCTGCTCTTCACCACATATATCAGCATTTCCCAGTCCTTAAAAGACTTCGGAGATCCTGAATATAGTCTTTGGTAACTCTTTTTCAAAATTTTTATTTTCTTATTTATTTATTTAAAAAAAAATCCATAACTAATTTTAGCTTTCATCATTTTAACATCATGCACATCATGCACCACGAGCACCACGGCATTTATTGCTTTTATTCTCCATTTTATCTTTTTATCTTCCAAATTCTGTGTCTACTTTCTGATTTCGTTCCGCAAAAGAAAGGACGAATTAGAGAAGAGCACAGATTTCTGCCACCTCCTTCCGGGATGGTGCCTAATTAATATGTTCCATACTTGCCAATTAAATTGTTTCTTTTCTCTCACCTATAGTATGCCCTCAGCTACAGGTGAGAAGCTTTCTTTAGAACGGCTCTGAGCTGTTGTTAATAATTTTGATAGCATCTTTTAAATTTTATGGAACTTTCAATTAATTATTCTATTTTTCTTATTAATTATGATGAGAGGGTAATACCGCTTTTTGTAAGGTACCTAGTAATTTGAAGCCGTGGGCCGAAACTAAATTATAGGTAAAGCTTTCCCGTTCGTCAGGATGGCTGACCGGCTTAAAGCGTTGCGTTCAGGTTGCAGTCTTCATGAATGGGCGCGGGTTTGAATCCCACTTCTGACAATGTTATTTTGATCTTTCATTTTTTATAGTTGCCTTCAAATAAATTATAAGGAACGTTTTCTTACGTGGTAGGATGGCTGATTTGACTAAGGCGGTGTCTACTTGTGTGGGTATGAGTTTGAATCTCACTTCTCACAATGTTATTTTACTCTGTCATTTTTTATAGTTCACATACACTAAAATATGGGGAAAGCTTTCCCTTGCGTCAGGATGGCCTAGCTGTCTAAGGCGCTGCGTTTAGGTCGCAGAGTTTACTTTTGTGGGGGTGGGTTCGAATCCCACTTCTGACAATGTTATTTTATTCATTCATTTTTTATAGTTCTCGTAAACTGCATGTAAGTAAACTCTCGCTAACGTGCTAGGAGGGCCGAGCAGTTTAAGACACTGCTTTCAGATCACCGTCCACTTGCGTGGGCCTGATTTCGAATCCCACTTCTGACGATTGTATTTTATTCAGTCATTTTATATTGCTTTTATAACTTAAATATAAGGATCACTCTCTCACAGTAGGGCCGATCGGTCTAACAAGAAAGTCAAAGTAATTTTGGAAAAGAATAATGGTAGTGCTGATTTTGTTAAGGGAAGGGAAAACTTATATATATATATATATATAAAGAGGTAGAGAAAGCCCGTGTGTGTGTGTGTGTGTAATGCCGGGCCATGCAGCTAGTAAAAATATAAATTTATAGAAAAATACAAAAAGGAACTACAAAAAGAACCTAGTGAGTCTGAAAGCAATGTCGGATAAAATCTCATAGGAAGTTTATATATATATATATGTAAGGATAATTAAATTAGATTAAAAATTAAATTCCCTATCTAGAAAATCACTTTTATATTTTCTCCTCGCCTCTTCAAGTATCAAATTAAACACCCATTTATTTCTTCCGAACATATGGCCTAGCAAATAAACATGTCTAATTTCAGATCGTTATATTTAATAGCCCTATATGTCAGCATTAACTTTCAAGAGCACCGCTTCAAGCTTTCCGCGATCGGTGTTTTAACTGTTATCCATTTAAGATTTTTGGTGGCGTGCTTTTTTCCTCTCTGCTCTTTGCGTCAGATGATGTCTAACTTTGATAAAATAAAGTTCCCTTTTTTAAAAACTAAGTCTATTTCTAACTTCAAATCATGACATATATATATATATATAAATTAGATGTTTATAGATTTATATAATTAGATATATAAATTAGATGTTTTATATTTTGGAGGAAGGATTTTAAAGATCCCGAACTGAACCGATAACGTGGAAAGTTTTGCAGTAGAGTGACTAACTACGATAACATTTCTGTATCATTGCATTCTTCCCCTGTTCTAAAAAAAGTTTGTAAAAATTCACTTGATAGGAGGCTCACAACGGCGTCATAATTTGTTGGCAGATACATTTAGTTCTCAGCAATAGAAAGAAATTGTCTTTTTTGAATAGGTAATGAATATTATATTTCGTGTTCGTTTTGGAAAAAAGGGCTTCGGAGACGAAATTTTGAAGCAGATGTAATGATGTGATACATTATCGTGAACACAAGGTTTTGAACATCGATTACATCGACGTTTCAGACAAGGTAAGGAACGTGTCGATGACGACAAATGCCCTGGCAAAAAAAATTTGGAAGTCTCCTCGTTTTAAATATTAAAACAAACACAATTATTCTTCATCGGAATTTTACATTCTTTTTCATTATTTAACATTAATAATAAATGCTGATTCTGTGAGGATTACAATTGCAAACAGTTCGTTTAAATCTATTTATAATATGAGCACTCATTTAAAAAATATCATTTTACATGTTTGTATTCATTGCCGTGAATCTTGGTTTTTTTTTCTCCTTACAATTCAGGTAAGTCCGACTGCGTGGCGTAGTTGGTTTGTCGCTTACCCTCTGCACCTAAGGTTGCGGGTTCGACCCCGGCTTATGCCATGATGCAGAAAATCGACAGCGGCTATGTCGTATGATTATGCGGCATGTAAAAATCCCGTGTAAAGTGCTCATTTGGCTTGGCTGCCAAAATTCTTTAAAAAAACTCTTAAGTTCAATTTCGCATCGTCAGAGCTCAGGGTCCTCCCTCTGAGGAGGAAACTGGGTATCGAATATACTTGCACCAATTGGTATTGCCTATTATACGATGCCGCACTAAAGAGTGATACCAGCTCCTGGGGAATGAGCTAGTTCTGCAAAGGTAATAAAAATACGAATATTTACAAATACCGTTTTGCGCAGACGTCGGATAGGTTGCCCAGACTCACGCAGACGTTCGCGAGAATGCTAATTCTGACTGATATGATAGAGAGCAACACATAGACTAGACTATTTTTCTAATGACATTTAAACTTTTAGAAATGGATAATGGAAGAAAAAGTAATGTGTTTAAAATATATATTACTTAAAAGTAACAAATACAAAATTTAATACTTTTCTTGTGAATATATACGGTTTATAATTAAGATCGTTTTGTAACTTTAGCGCCAAAGCTCATTATTATTGTATAAGGGGGGGGCGATAAAAATTATGATTGAAAATTGGGTCACCAATAGTGAAAGTTTGAGAAGCACTAGTTTAAAGTGCATCGTAGGCTGAATTAAAGGACACGGTTAAAAAGGGATCTTAGAAATGTTACGACAACCTTCATAAGCCACGGCAAAAGTGTGTTGTTACTAAAGAGTCTCATCTCGAAGAAGGATGTGTTTCAGCAGTTTAATTAGTAATATATATATATATTTTTAAGTTACACACACTCATACCGGGAACTTTTGAATCCTACAACGTGTGTGTTTATTTTAAGTAGTATATTGAGGTGACAAAAACACACACAAAATTGCAATGTACATATGCCACATATATCAACAATCATAGGAATGACTATTCTAATAATTTCCAAACGAAAGTCTGGATAATACTGAAAATCTCCATATATTCGTGGAACAAAACCATATACTATTTAATTTTAATTCATTCCAAAATGATACGTCTTTTTAAATCCATTTTAAATGTTCTTGTTCTTGTATTATATGTATATAGGAAAAATTTACTACTAGAGCTGTACCCAATGCGGCCATCTGTTTAACGATTATTTTTTATGTTCCATACTTTCTCCAAATCCGTTGCATTTCTCAATCCAGTTGGGCAGCTCCCTTAAGCAGCACCCTGTATGACTTAAAATAAAATAAAAAAAATAAAAAATTAATTAAATTTTTTCATATATACCATATTTGTATAAAAGCGAGTATAGGGAGTTTTGGCACTCCTAATAATTTCATTAGGAGGAGATGGAATATAAATAAAAGCGTTTTCCAACAAGATACTGTATCGATTTATCATGTCTAGATATTTTTTATTCCGTTGTTATATAAAGAGCCCCATCTACGAGAAAGGCTTTATAGATTCTAATAAAGACATCTAACAGTTGCTGCACGATCAAGTAATGTCTGATATATTTACTAGGGTCCCTCAAGGTCAAGAATGCGGAGAGTGTTAAGGTCACTACAAGATCAAGTTTATGAAGCCTGGGTCATTTTTTGGTTGTAGAATTTTGAGGGTTTTCTCGGTTAGGACGTGTAGTTTATTTGTGTGGTTTAATAAAAAAATTTAAAAAATTAATTTTTCTTCTTAAAGTGTAATAGGAATCTGAACTTATTTCCTTAGTCTAAGTCAGTCTTGTACCTCATCATCTCATGAGGCAAGACATGTTTACCACTTAAGTTTCAACTATAAACTGTACGATGTTTTGTGCTAAATTATTTGTATAATATATTCCTTCCTCTATTTATGCATATACCAGTCGATTAATGTACAGTAAATAGCTATGCATTTAAATGTATAAATAATTATTTAAATAAAAATTCTGAGAGTTTGCTATTGTCTGATTTTTTCTTATGAAAAACTATCAACGCATTTTGTAAACGTTCTAAATTTTGAAAACAAAAATATGTTTATGATTTGAGATACGAGAAATCATGGAAATTTTAACTCATAAAAGGTTCATTTCGATAATAAATATATTTTTTGCGGGTCATTCTATATTTCATTTTTTAATTAGGAATTAATAAAAGTAATTTGTAATACGATAATTGATTTCTAGCATTTTCATTTGTTTTTCTAACAAAACATATACTAAGATATGTTATTATTTTGAATTAATTTTTAAAGGGTTTTTTTGTGCAGGAAATTAAGCTAAAATACGAAACTACTGTTTAAATATTTATATGACAAACAATAAACTACTTTGAAATGAAAGTCAGAAATATATATCGAAAATATTATTTTTACATTTTTATATACTCTCTACTTACAACATTCTTATAAATGGAATTAAGAATATTTTCATACAGAGACATACTGCGAAACAGATATATATTTTACACATCTACTGAATCTCTTGAGATCAGAATGTCCGAAAAATAGCGAATAGCTATATCCTTGCATTCTCGAGTACATTTCTTATACTTTCATTCCCGGATTTTGAATAAATATCCAATGCAAATAGCAATTTTTCATTATTCCCTAGTGGATTTGTTAGACTTCAACCAATTCCTCTTATTTTAAATAAAATCGGAGATGTTTACGTCTTATCTTGTAATGGATATTCTTAGAATGAGAATACATTGCGCCATATTTGTTTGGGAAATATATTTTAGCCTATAAAAACATAAATATCCCCTTTTGAAAACTGTTCACAAAGAATTTGATGTATCCGAATTTTGTGTTTATGTATATATTCTGTATATAGCTTATTTAAATGACGAAAAAATTGCAATGTAAACCACGGTTATATAAAATAGAAATGACTATACTTTGAAAAAGAAAGATACTGTGGGAGTTAGTAAGTGTTATATATACGACGCACTATATATATATATATATATATATTTAAATATATATAAATCAATTAAAAAATTGAAATTATATGAATTTTGTATTACTAAATCTCATTTCAAAATATCAATGGCGAATATAGAAAATAAATTACCAACGTTTTTAAACAAAATTAAAAATTTTATAAAATAAAAATTTATAAAATATCCTTGAGCAATCCCGGACTTAGGACCGATAAGTGGGGTTAAACTAGTTTGATGGCGTCAACCTTCCCCCTGTTGCAACTTGGTAAGTTAGTTAATTGGGAAATATCCGATTCTCAAAAATTTAAGAAGTTAATACTTAAAAAAATTAAACTATTCACCATCGCATTCTGAGAGATATATCATTAAAATGTTAAAACTCTAAGATAATTAAGTGCACAATATAACTGAACCATCGAACACCAAGGATGATGCACCCATCTTTAAAAT